AAAAAAAAAAAAAAAAAAAAAGATAAAACCATTCTCAAAAATCTTCGACCAATATCTCTTGTGAATGTTGATTACAAAATTCTGACTAAAGTTTTAGCAAATCGCTTAGAAAAAGTATTACCTAAAATAATAAATCCTGACCAAACTGGCTATGTAAAAGGACGCTACATTGGTGAAAATATCTGATTAATTCAAGATCTTAGTTTCTAATGTTTTATTTGGAAAAAGAAAATTCTCCTTGCATGGCAGTTTTTGTGGATTTTCAGAAAGCTTTCGATACCATTGAGTGGAATTACTTAGAGAAAGCTCTCATGCTCTTCAACTTTGGGCCAAATTTTCTACAATGGTTCAGGACTATATACTCCATCATTTCCAGCTGTGTTCTGAACAATGGCCACGCATCTCACTTCTTTTCTTTAACGCGTGGGGTAAGACAAGGTTGTCCTCTATCAGGCCTTCTATTTGTTATCGGTCTCGACCTTCCCGCAAGAGCCATCAAAAGTCACAATCTCATCAAAGGAATAACATTAGGAAACCACGAAATTAAAACAACCATGTATGCCGATGATACCAAAGTTTTTCTCAGTGACATGGAATCTATTAGTTATTTACTTAAGCTGCTAAGCCAATTCAAAGTTGCGTCCGGTCTAAAAGTCAATAACTCCAAAACCGAAGCCATGTGGCTTGGCAAGTGGAAAAACAGATCCGACACTCCTTTTAATTTCAACTGGCCTGTCGATCCCATCTGTGCCTTAGGTGCATTCTTCTCCTACAACACCACCAAAGCTGATAAGCTTAACTTCGATGAAAAGCTGTGAAATATGAATAAGATTTTAAATATCTGGAAAAATAGGAAACTAACCTTAATTGGCAAAATAAACATCGTCAAAACTCTAGCTTTATCAAAATTAATTTTCAACAGCTCCAATCTTAATTTATCTAAAAACTTGTCTGACACGATTACCAGCATGATCTTTAATTTCATTTGGCAGGGTAAACCCCCAAAAATTGAGAGAATGACAATAGTTGGTGAAAAAAATAAAGGCAGATTAAAAATGGTCGACTTTGAAGTAATGAACACTGCGCTCAAATTTGCCTGGGTTAAAAGAATATGCCAAAACTCCGACTCCTCTTGGAAAACTCTTATCGCACATTTCTTCAGGGAACACGGCGGTCTTTCTTTCTTACTAAACTGTAGATATGATGTTAAGTTACTGAATTTGAATGACGTACCACCCTTCTACCAGGCAATATTAAAGTGCTGGCAAGANAATAAGATTTTAAATATCTGGAAAAATAGGAAACTAACCTTAATTGGCAAAATAAACATCGTCAAAACTCTAGCTTTATCAAAATTAATTTTCAACAGCTCCAATCTTAATTTACCTAAAAACTTGTCTGACACGATTAACAGCATGATCTTTAATTTCATTTGGCAGGGTAACCCCCCTAAAATTAAGAGAATGACAATAGCTGGTGAAAAAAATAAAGGCGGATTAAAAATGATCGACTTTGAAGTAATGAACACGGCGCTCAAATTTGACTGGATTAAAAGAATATGCCAAAACTCCTACTCCTCATGGAAAACTCTTATCGAACATTTCTTCAGGGAACACGGCGGTCTTTCTTTCTTACTAAACTATAGATATGACGTTAAGTTACTGAATTTGAATAATGTACCACCCTTTTATCACGCAATATTAAAGTACTGGCAAGAAAACAAACCCATTATATTAGAAGACAATACACACAAGCAAAACGAAATTATCTGGAACAGTAAAAACATTGTAATAGATAAACAGATGATCTATTTAAAACAATGTCATCGAACTGGGATCATGTACATAAATGACCTGCTTGACGAAAATTTTAAGTTCTTATCACGTGACAAGTTTCAAGGAATCTTTCAGCTTTATGTCTCGTTTACAGCCTGCTATGGTTTAATAAGCGCCATTCCACCAAGCTGGACTGACGCACAATCAAACGCACAGAAATCGCAATTGAAAATGACAACGCGTCACAAGAACCTCCTCTGTCTAAGAATTTCACCACCCGTATTGCCTATGCAGCAATTATAGACCACTACTTTCAACCCCCAACTGCTGAACCAAAATTACTACAATATGGTTTCTCGAAAGAATGCGTAAAGAAAGTTTATAACCTCCCCTTTGTTAACACGCTCGAAACAAAGCTTCAAATTTTTCAAAATAAAATTATCCACAACAAACTTCCAACTAGGTGTTCCCTTTTCCGAATGAAGCTATGCGATTCTGAAATCTGTCAGCTATGCAAAATCCAACCGCAAACATTGCCTCACTTATTTTACCTTTGTTCTGTAATTTCCAATTTCTGGTCTGCATTTCAAAATTGGTGACTTGAAAAACATAAAAACAATAACTCTCACCGAACATAATATCCTTTTTGGTTGGCATGATAACACCACAGAATCAAAAGACATTTTAAACTATGCCACCTTGGTGGCTAAGTATTATATCTTTTGCACTATCCAAGACAGCGATGATGTACCCTTTGACGGCTTTCCTTCTTTACTTAAGAACAAATTAAATACTTCACAACAAATAGCAGTTAAAAATAAAACCATTGACAATTTCAACAAAAAGTGGAAAGACTTTATTTGAGTTTTTTCATTTTACTTACTTAGTTAAGTTATTAATTAATTTAATTAATTATTAATTAATTTAATTAATTATTAATTGTTTCATACTCGAAATGTTGTACTTTGTAATAGTTTGTAATTCCTTTTTTTGCTTGTATTTTTGTAACACACACCATTACCTTCCCTATTACCTTTTGTATCTCCTTTAATTGTCCTATTGTAGTCAATGTTGTATTAATAATAATGATAATAATAATAATAATAAAATAGTTTATGTACATAACTGTTTCATTGAATTGGTTTACTTCATGTTGAAAGCTGAGATAGGCCAGGAGAATATTCTATATTAGGAAAAGAGTACTTTACGGCTTTAGCAAGCTAGGTTAGTAAGTTGTTTATTGGATCGATGACACTCAAGAACACAAAATACAAAGTTTGAGACGGTCCGTATATGGTAAAATTCCGACCAAGAAAGAACCGATCGGAACGCTCGGATTTACTTCAAGACTACCCTGCCATATAACAAATAGTGGTATTCACGGAGTATATCTAAGTTAATCAATTTTCCATTTTCAAAACAATTTTATCGTGATATCATTTACCACGCCTTGTTGCCTCCAAATTTCAAATCTAACGTGTCTCGATATCTCTCTCTCTTTCTTCTTATAAGGTCGTTCGTCGGTGTGCCTTCCTCTACAATTGTCTTCAGAAAAAATGGCAGGCTGGGAGTATTCAGTGGGTGTGTACATTGCTTTGAACCTCGCAGCATTCCTTTTCATCGTGGCAGCCTACATCGCCATTATTGTCAGTCTCAAAGTCACAGCGAAGAGTCAAAGCTCATGGTGAATCTGACGTGAGTTCTTATAGAAATGATCAAAAGAGAATCCGCTCTGGCAAGGAGAGTGTTGGCCATCATCTTGCTGGGTTCCTGTAATTATTTTCATTATCCTTGCTTTTATCGATCGTTTCCGTGACAACGACGGAGAGGTTTGCATGTTCGTTGCAGTCTTTGTTCATCCGGTTAATTCTTCTATCAATCCAGTGCTCTACACATTTTCGACGCTCAGGATAAGGATAAATCATAACGCTAGCTATTTCCCTCGCCATAAGAGAAATCACTACTTCGTTGCTTGTTTCCCCGCGTTCCTGTGCTTGTCTCTGCGTTGTTGCATCCATGCTTCCTTACAACAAATTCACAAGCTTAGCAATTTACCAGCTTACCTGCTCTCCGGTTACCTGCTTTAAAACAGTTTCCTTGCTTCCCTGTTTCCCTGCGGCCCTGCCTCCCCATAAAAGAATTCAGGTGACGCACACTTTGTTGATATTTTTCATTAGGTGAAAAGTGTTTTGAAAGGCTGGTTCTGTTTCATCCGCCATAGAGTTTCAAGAACGCAAAATTTGACTGGTAAGGATAAAATAATGGTACTACTTGCCCTTATATGTACTACAACCTTAAATACTGCGACATTTAAAAGGATTATTTTCTCAGTGAAAATCAATATGCTAACAAAACGTTGTGACCAAAATGTTCCCATTATCAAACGTGCGTGGTAAACGTTTTGAAAAACAAAAAAAAATTAGCCAAAATGTTGATGTGAATAATTTTCGAAAAAGAGGAAAACAGAAAGACAGACTCGAGGCACATTTGCTGATTTTAAGGTGTTCTGTTCGTTGTTGTCATAACATGCTATTACTTATGAGTACCGAGCAAGCATGCATGTATATGCCGTAGTAATTAAGTTTCAACAAAACATTTTGTTTCGTCAGTCCTTCACCTTACGTGGGAGTTCATTTGCAACCGTGTTTACACCTTGTTTTTATATTTTTCACAGATTTTTCTAAAAGAATCAACAAGAAAACGAATGAGAGTGTTAAAGAAAAGAAGTTCTCGTCGATAATGGAAGAGATGCCGTCGTCCAAAGAAGAAATACAGTTCGAGAACAACGCCGATGGAATTAAGCAATAGAGGACTCTTTCCTTGTATCATACATAGCCTCATCTAAACACGAGGGGGTTGGGAGAATTCGAGACAGTTATGCAAACCCAAACCTTTACTGCGTCTCGGGTTTGCATAAATTCCTCCCCCAACCCCTCACCCCGAGTGTTTCGATTAGGCTACGGAACACGGATAAAAAGCCATCTATTGCTTTTAAAGAATATAACCGTGTTTACATACTCTCATTTAATCACACCTATCGACCAATGAGAGCGCGCGTACTATCTTAAATATCTTATTAATAGGGACGGAGTTAAGGCAGAGTGTCACGCTGAATGAAACTTATTACCGATTCACATTCTATTCTGTTGTGAAACAAAAGCTAGCTGAATATTTAAAACACGACCGAAAGTCATAGTGGTGAAATCAAAATTATACCGAAACTGAATTAACCATGACAGTATTTCGAAGTAGAACTTGAGAACCGGCAAGCTGTGCAATGGATAAATAGAACAATCTAATTATTGCTACGTTGATAAGACTGTTGATATGTCTTTACCTGCATAGTGTTAATTGACGATCAAGAAACCATTTAAATGTGCACGTAGTCGCTGTAATATATATTAAAATGTCCATTAGTCGTTCTAGAAAGGCAGATTTTTAAGACAGTCAATTGCGCTTATCATCCTAAGGCGGTCTTGTAACTAACTAGACGATTCTGAGAATTCGTATTCTGAGAGCACGATAAAAAATAAAAACTCCACCGGAGTCTGTCATGACAGAATAACAAGGTGTCCTTTTGGTTTTCCTATAGCATTCGCAATTTTTATTTTTTTCAGAAATGGAAAATATTTACAGAATTAAGGGAAAATGAAATTTGAGACCCGAAATGGCCGTAGTTGCTTGCTAACTACTGTTGTCAACGTCTTATTTTCGGGATTTGCAGACAATAATGACCGAGTATCCGGTTAGATTAACGGGGACTGAAGTCGTTTAATAAGACTCCAATCAAAAAGGGAAAGCTATCCCGGCGATGACTTTTATAAAACTGAACACACTTGACGTAAAAAGGAATGACAAACGATGAGCTTTTCAACAGAATATACCTATTTTATATTCATTAAACCACAAAATATATGACACAAATTGATTTTGAATCCCTTTATTCCTCGTTCTTTTCAACATGTTTTGTTATAGTTTACTTCTACCATTATTTCCTTCACCTTAATTTTAGTTTTCCCGAGACATACTCACGGTATAGCTTTATACGTGAGTTGCCTTACACAACTCGATTATTTAAAGATTATCATGGCTCCATAAAAGGTGTGTGCTTTTGCCATCCACAGCTTGCTAGGAAACACAGCCATCAAGCTGATTTGGTCGCCTTTAGTCAGCTTCTTTATCGCCCCAGTAAACCGGTTGCCGTAGTCGGAGTCAGGTCCGACCGAATTCTGAAGCAAGGAGACTGTCTCGCCATTTACAGCGAGAGCCACGCGATTACGCGAGGCACCTCCTTCGGGATAGGCTTCAAAAAACGCTTGGGCGTAGATGTAATAGGTTCCACCCTTCTGTACTTCCAGACTGCCATTGTTATTTGAGAGTCCTATCAAAGTTCCGTCTTCGTCAAAATCGGTGATTCCTGCCAAATTGAAACATATTGCATGAAAAAATTATCTATCTACCCGGCATGTATATTGGATACAGAAAATTAAGCCAGCCAGCCAATTTACTGTTTCGTGTAATTACGAAAATAAGTGGTTATTACAAGCTCCCTTCACCGGACGCGTAAGTCATGGCTTGGCGTAAATTCCCTGCCAGCTGTCCTGTTATCTAGGGAGTAAATGAAAACATCGTATTTATTCTTCTGAAAGAAAGTCAAGGAATGGGCAAAGCGTAAAGAAGTTGCTATTAATCAGTATTTGTAGTAAGGCACAAAACTTGATTCTAGACTCTTTGGGCCGAATATTTAAACGAAGTTTAGGCGTCGTTTAAGAAGGTCTTGGTCTAAACCGGGTTTCAACCGGGAAACCGGGTTATTTAAACGTCACTTATCTTAAACTCCGCCTAAACGGAGTCTAAACACAGCCTCCCAAACATTAGCAACTTAGACCTGGTCATGAGTAGGTTTAGACGGTAGTCTAACGTTTTATTATTGAAGGTTTTTGGAACTTCCTTATCGTCAATAAATTTTTCAGAAGGGAACAAACAATAAGCAGACTAATATTTAAGCTTCTTTTTTACCCTCTTCCCTGCTTCTGTTCCAACAATGAGAAGGCAGATGAGCAAAGCAGCTTGTCGCAACATGATTTGAAGTTTTCACACACAAGGTCCCAAGATACTGAGTGGAAGGAATATCGAAATAATGTAATAAAATCATTTAGGAAATACACTGCTTGATTATTGTGTTACTTGGTTATTAAAATTTTTGGTCAGTGGTACTTGGCGTTATGTGCAATCTACAAGGAATGAGACACTTTTACGCGTAGTTACAATTTTGGTCCAAAATCGTAAACAATTACGAAAGATTTATTGATCAAATTGCGCATCCTAAATTCAACTACGGTACTGAGTTCTTAAAACTAAGGGAAATGGTAACTGGATTCTTCTTCTAATCTCTACTTTAGAATTTTTTTTTTAATACGGGCTTACGCGGACTCGCCCAAAATAATGCCCGTATAAAATCGTCGCCCTTCATTTGTCTAGAGTTTTATCTAACTAAGAAGGAAGAGTGAAAAAAATATTAAGATTTAAACGTTTTCTCACAGAGGTTATGGATATTGTAATTCCCATCTAGCCATCTAAAATATTTCAAGCCTGGCGGCCTCATTGTTCTACGAAACAATAGGGAAGGATTTTTACAAAGAGACTGTTTCTTCCCGTTGCCTGGGGTCGGTGCACGGTATCACAGGCAAATATCATGATAATTCCTAGGTGCTAACTATGTAAAATTTGCTAACAGTAAAACTTACTACACTCTGCTTTTCTCTTTAGATATCGTCCTTTGAAGTCAGTCTTCCGCGATGAGGGAAACCTTCAGACCAGGCTAGCTCTCTGTGGAGAACTGAACGTTATATGTGACTTTGCCTTCTTTTAAGACATCTTTAACGTGAAACCTGAATAAGTTTGAAATTGAGAACTTTTAAGTGGAAATAAGTTTGAAATAAATATAGAAGTTCATGTTACAACTACTAGGTGATGCTTTCAAACAGCGCATGCCCAACTACATTTGCCTAGGGTAGGCCGCTGAGTATTTACTTCACCAAAAATTTGGCCAAGCGAGCGCCTGGAAATTCGTCATAATAATACAAATTTTAAGAAACGTAAGACCAACCAGAAAGAGTGTCCCGACTAACAAACGTTTTTGCATACCCAAAATCAAGTTTAAGGGTAATGTTGAGGACAAAAATTACCATCAAAGACCACGATTTTGAACAAAAGAAGACAAATGTCTAACTAATAAGGTCGGCTAGGAACGTTTGCCATGTGTTGCTAAGGGCATTCCTCTCTGTCTTCAGATATTCCTTTCATTTGACTTGAGACGTTATATGTTATCGAAATTGCGCTTAATTGTCGTTCGTTGTTTAATGGTGATAACCAATTTTCAACCATTAGTAAATTGATTGATTGGTTGATTGCAATAGATAGAAAAACTAACAATGTATCTTCCATCAAGGTATTGAGTTATTTTTATTTGCAGATTCTGACATTAAGAAGACATCCGTCAGGAACTGCTTGCATCTGTAAAGCTTGAATAAAGCCCATGTCCAGCTCCATTTGTCTAGAGCAGGCCTCTAAGTAACTACTTAATCAAAAATTTGGCCGAGCGAGAAAAACAGGAAGTTCATCAGTTAATCATAAGCCTACCTGATGGGGTCGGCTAGGCAAGTTTGCCATGTGTTGCTAAGGGAATTCCCCTCAGTGTTCAGAAATTTCTTTTATTGGACTTGAGACGTCAAATGATATGGAATTAATTGTCGTCCATTGTTTAATGGTGATAACCAGTTTCAAACCTTTAGTGGATTAATGGATTGAAATAGATAGAAAAACCGGGATGACACGAAATTTACCTGTAAGCTTGAGTGTTCAGATGTTCTCCTCCAATAAAATGGGTACCTAAAACAACCACCTTCCACATTAGAATTGCCGGTAAAGTTCTTGAACGTAAAGTACGCTGGCATGAAATTGACCTTTGATAAAAGAGCACCGACTGACACAGTCATGCCAGCATGCGCGAATACGAATCCTGACATAATTACCATGGCTGGATGTAAATAACATTAAGCTGTTTATCTGTTTCGGTTTGTAATATCGTGTATCTTGAAAACTGATTCTTTCCTTGCACATTTTCGGCAGCGGCTTTTTAACAGTGCTGACATCCGAATTTGAAGAAGAAAAATAACTGCCAAGCTCCAATCTGTGCTCCGTGTGTCTTTTGATTCAACCCTGCAGCAGTACCGCTAGAAATTCCCCTCTGTGACAGTTCCGGTGAGACTTGGTTGTTCCCCAGGTTTTTTAACAAAAACTCTATCCTGGCAGACAAAAATTAAACTCAGCGGGTTGATCCAAATGGCCAATGATGCATACAAATCTAACCACGCGTGTATATTTACATGCAAAACTGTGTGAATCGGTATTTAACATACACTCTTTTTTATAATAATATTGTTTTTCCGTGAATATTCTTATTTTTCTGCCGATTTTAGGGGGGAATATTTTTCTGAATATATTCTTAGATTATAGGGTTTTCGAGTGTATTTGGTGTCTGGATGGTGTAAAAATGATTTTGGAGCCAGTCTACAGGCATTAAAGCCTAATATCAAACATTACTTCTTGCAGAAATGTTTTGGCATCAAACATACGGCGCGCAAGTGCTGTTTTTACTACTTTTTGGCTGGTTTTGCTGTTTAGAGAATGGAACAATTTTATACGGTTTAGTTAAAAACATAATTGCATTGCATTTGCAAATTCTCAACAGACAAAATATTGGGTTTTTTAAAAAATCTCAGCACCTGGTTTATTCGTAAAATATTCTTAAAATTTCGCAAATTTCAGCCTCAATATTCTTATAAAATGATATTTTCATAAAAGAAAGAATGGCAAGAAATATTGCATGAAATTTTCAAAGCAAGTCAACTGAGGCAACCTATGTTATATCTCACGTGCTTTTACATTTTGCTATACCAGTTCGTAAACTAAAATTCTATCACGCAGTATGTAAGCAGGTATGCAATTTATAGCGTCGTTCAGTGACACTTTCGAGTTTACGTTTGAAGACGTTCGGTTGACATGTTAACTGGAAGATGTAATTTGCGTATTTATATTCGAGGCAAACATTTCACTGAGATACAGACGTTCCCCTTCATCAGGCTAGCAAATACTTTCGATGCTTAATGTAGACGATATTAGAGAAAAGGCTAAAATATCTAAAATGTACGAAGCCAAAATGTACAAATAGCAGTAACGAAATAATAATATCAACAGTAAGGTATGGTAAGGAAAGGTAAATATATTTCAAGTGGTAAACGTAGGGAGTGGTTGCGCAATCTTCCTAGCCAGGGACTCATGACAAAAACGCACGAATATTTACAATAACGTTACCGGCTTACAATTACTATATTCGCTAAGATGAATTCAGAATTAAAATATAAATTATTCCTAAGAGCAACTAGTCCTAACAGTAAAAAGTCAATAATTCTTCCAAAACGACAATGCAAACCAATGTAAAGAAACTGCGCGATCATTTAGTGAATTTTCGATCGCAATCGCAGAAAGTTGAAGCACAGAGATATTTTTCGATAACAATTTTGCAAAAGACTCCAATCTTTCTCAGCGATGATTTTTTTCTTACCGAACCGCGACATTTGACGCAAAAGAGGAAAGACCACACAGTGATATTTTGAACAATTAATACCCATTTTATTTTCATTGAACCTCATAATATGACACAAATTGATTTCGAATCCTTTTATTTCGCATTCTTTTCAACATACCTTGTTATAGTTGTCTTGTACCACTATATTTCCGTCACCTTTATTTTATTTTTTTTTTTTAGTGAAGACTTGATATGACTGATGATCCACTACAGACTAAGAAATGTTTTCCGAGGCATACACACGATAGCTTTACACGTGAGTTGTCTTATACTCGCTTAACCACACCCACTGATTTTCATGGTTCCAGAGAAAGTGTGTAATTTTTCCGTCCACAGCTTGCTGGGATACACATCAATCAAGCTGATTTGGTCGCCTTCTGTCAGCTTCTTTGTCGCCCCAGTAAACCGGTTGCCGTAGTCTGAGCCTTTTCCGAGCGAATTCTGAAACAAAGAGACTGTTTCGCCATTTACAGCTAGAGCCACGCGATTATGCGAGGAACCTCCTTGGGGATAGGCTTCAAAAAACGCTTGGGCGTAGATATAATAGGTTCCACTCACAAGTACTTTCAGACTGCCATTGTCATGTAAGAGTTAATGCAAAGTTCCGTCTTCGTCAAAATCGGATGATGATTTCTGCCAAAATTGAAACATACTGCATGAAAAAATTATACATCTACCCAGCACTTAAATTGGATACAGAAAACTAGGTTGTGTCCTGGTGTACCATTGTACTTCTTTCTTTACGAACCTTTGTTTAGCTGCTGAACATTGTTGGGTCTTTTGCATCGGTTCTTGTGAACCGGTACACGAGGACAGAACCGAAAACTAAGCCAACAAGCCAATTTCCTGCTCCATGTAGTTACGATGTTAGTTGAGGTATCATAGTAGGTGGATTGACAGTGTTTGGAAATCGCGTTCTTTATACGCTGGCGCTTTGAAAGAAAACCCCACCAACTTATACATTTTCTGAAAGCTTAATAGTTATAGAATACTATCATATCTTTGAAATTTTCTAAAAAGTCATTGTCGCAGTGATATTAAAAGAAATACCCAGGAACACTGCTTCGCTTAAACTGGTTCGCTTCCGCGAGTGAACTGTCGGAGATGCGTGATTAACATCGGAAATGTTTTCTCACACATCACCCTCGAAAAGAGCGTCGGCGATTTTCCAGATGTGATTTGGGTTTTTCTACATCCTCCTAAACTTTGATATTTTCAATGCGGACGTTTCCTTCCACTAAAGAGGCCCTAACTTTGAAAGGGAAGCGAAATTAAACAAAGCCCGACATCCTTTTTCGAAGGAGGTATCCTGGAACATACCTCCCGAGTTTCAGCCAATTCCGTAGGAAGACGCGCGTAAACGAACTAAAAATGTTTATCCTTATATGCAGTTTCATTTTATCGAGAAAAAGACGAAAAACCTTTTATGAGATTGGTATGATTAGGTGTTAAAAATCCCCTCCGCACTGACAGATGCCGGCATGGGTCAGATTACTAAAACAATGGCTTATGACAACTTGAAATAAATAGACGTCTACAATTCTGGCGGGGAAACCCGTCGCAGTGAAATCGTCCGAGAAGCGACAAACTGCCAAGAGCTTTATACAGGTTTGTATTTATATTTAAACTGCCCTGATTTCTTTTACTTAGAAGATTTCGTCGGCGGCATTGGTAATATGTTGCTCGAGTTTAGGCTTCTTTGTTCTCCAGGCATTTTTGAAACCATGCCTCGTGAAGCCAAAAAGAGGAAATCATCGTCTACATATGCGCTTGACTCTCTTGTTGTTGAAGTTTCGGAATCGCGTCCGTTCTCCAGCAATTTTGTGCGACTAGCACTTGTTGTAGTTTGTCCTTCAGCTTCATTGGCTGGACTATGATTACAGCGCGACCCACGCTGAACCTCTGGGTTCGACCAGATTTTCGCCTCTTTGGCTTCTTCGAAGACGAAGATGGGCAAGAAGTTTTCTTGCGTTTTCGTCCTGACATAAAGAAAATTTGACAAAAACGAAAGCTAACTTGCGATGAAACAACCAGATCAAATGGAATATCACACAAATGGAATATCACACCGCAATTCGCATTAGATGTGACAACTGGCGGTGAATTTTAATTAGAGGTGTCAACGCGCCGAAAGAGGTTAATGAGATTCAAAAATAGTTTTTCTCTTTATCTTAAAAAGTAAAAAAGCTTTTCTTTCCATTCTTTTTGCAAAATATTTATCTCAGTCCTCTCAATTTGAAAAGCAAAAGATTTTTCGCATTTTTCGTAAACATCCACCTACCATGATACCTTAAGGACTACATCATACCAGTCTCAAAGCAGTTAAAACAACTGAGCATTACAAGCTACCGCATCTGCCGCGTATAGCTTAGCTTCTTTTTAACTTTCCTGCCAGTTGTCCTGATATCTAGGGAGTAAATAAAAACATCGTATTTATTCTTCTGATTGAAAATCACTCAAAAAAAGCATGGACAAAGCGTAAAGGTTATGTTGCTCAGTATTTGTAGTTAAGCAAAAAACTTGTGAAACAACCCCTAAAATTGAGCCTGTGCAAAAGACTGTTTTCTTATAGCAAACAGATAAACAAGAGTAGGAACAAATTACTTTTTTTGTTTTGCAGCTCTGAATAAAAATTTGCGAATCTCATACATCTTCCTTTCTTTCAAAGAGTTTGTGTCGTGCAAATTTTAATTGCTAACGTCTGCGTCGAGACTGTTCTTGATCCTCATTAAATCACGACGTATTGGATGACCAGTGCATTCTCTATGTTATTTTTCTCTTTGTTATTTCACGGTCATTATATTCGCCGCTTGCACAACCTTTTATGAAAGAGCTCTGAATTACATTCGTATCTCATCGAATGGAATGGTTATCGAACGTTAATAAGATAACACAAAAAAAACTGAAGTATCTGAAATTTTGCCACGTTTTGGAACTTCCTTACCGTCAATAAAATTTTCGAGAGGGGACAAACAACATTTAGCTTCTATTTTAGCTTTTATCTTACCCTCCTCTCTGCTACTGTCCCCGCAGTGAGAAGGCAGATGAGCAAAGCAGCTTCTCACAACATGATCTGAGGTTTTCACATACAGGGTCCCAAGATGGTGAGTGGAAGGAAGATCGAAATAATTTATCAAAAGCATTTAGGAATATACTACTGGCGTTAATTTTGTTACTTGGTTAGTTTGTTTTTGGTCAGTGGTACTTGATAAGTGCAATCTGCAAGGAATAAGACACTTTTATGCGTTGTTCTAATTTTGGTCCAAAATCCTAAACATCTACCAAAGATAAGCACATCAAATTGTGCATCCAAAATTTAACTGCGGTGCTGAGTTTTCACAACTATGCCATCATGCTAAAATATTTCATGCCTGGCGGCCTCATTGTTCTACGAAACAACAGGGAAGGATTTTCAAAAATAAACCGTTTCTTCCAGTTGCCTGGGGTCTTTAAATGGAATCACAGGGAAATATCATGATAATTCCTAGCTGCTAACAATGTAAACCCTGTATATCACAGTAAAACTTACTGTGATATGTTCTTCTCTTTAGATATCGTCCTTTGAAGTCCATCTTTCGCGATAATGGAAACCTTTAGACCAGGCTAGCTCTCTATGGAGAACTGAATGGTGTATATGACTTTGCCTCCTTTTAAGAGATCTTTAACATGAAACCTGAATAAGTTTGACATTGAGAGCTTTTAAGTTAAAATAACTATAGAAGCACATACTAAAACTACTAGGACATGCTTGCATCTGTAAAGCTTGGAAACAGCGAATGCCCAGCTACATTCGTCTAGGGTAGGCCGCTAAGTATTTACTTAATCAAAAATTTGGCCAAGCGAGAAAAAGTGGAAATTCGTCTTAATCATAGTAATTTTAAGAACCGTAAGATCAAACAGAAAGAGTGCTTCGAGTAACAATCGTTTTCACTAAAAGTCAAGTTTAAGACGTCTACTGATCACAAAAATTACGATTAAGATCACAATTTTAAGCAAAAGAAAACAAAAGGCCGTTTGATGGGGTCTTCTAGACAAGTTTGTCATTGTTGCTGAGGGAATTCCTCTCTGTCTTCAGAAATTCCTTTCATTGGACTTGAGACGTTAAATGTTATCGAAATTAGTTTCGCTTAGTTGTCATCAATTGTTTAATGGTGATAACCACTTTCAAACTTTCAATGGATTGATATATTGACTGAAGTAAATAGAAACATAACAGTGCATTTCAACCAAGGAGTTGAATTATTTTTATTTGTAGATTCTGAGGCCACGTAATTGGGCTGTAAGCTTGAGCAGGTTTAGATGTTCCCTCCATGAAACAGCAAGATATTACTAAAACAACCACTTGCCACATTAGAATGGTTCAGTTCTTGAACGTAAAGTGTTGGCATAGTGACGTTCCCGGTGCAACGGTTACAATCTTTTCTTTTGAAATAACCGTTAAGGGATAACAACATATCGTCCATCAATGAGTTCAGTTATTTTATCAATATCTAGCTTAGTTAAAATCAAATCGGTATAAACGGTCTCGGAAAGGCCAATTATTCTTCGATTAGAAAATATCCCCGAAAAATTGTTATCGAAAAATATCGCAGTGCTTCGACTTTCTGCGATTGAAATCCAAAATTCACTAAATAATCGCGTAGTTTTTTTGTTTGTGTTTTTTTACATTGGCTTGCATTGTCGTTTTGGAAGAATTATTGACTTTTTACTGTTAGGACTAGTTGCTCTTAGGAATAATTTATGTTTTAATTTTGAATTCATCTTAGCGAATATAGTAATTGTAAGCAGTAATGTTATTGTAAATAGTCGTGCGTTTTTGTCATGAGCCCCTGGCTTAAAATATATTTACCTTTCCTTACCTTACCTTACTGTTTATATCATTATTTCGTTACTGCTATTTGTACATTTTAGCTTCGTACATTTTAGATATTTTAGCTTCTTCTCGAATAGTGTCTACATTTAGCATCGAAAGTATTTGCTAGCCTGATGAAGGGGAACGTCTGTATCTCAGTGAAATGTTTGCCTCGAATATAAATACGCAAATTACATCTTCCAGTTAACATGTCAACCGAATGTCTTCAAACGTAAACCCGAACTGCGTGTCATTGAACGACGCTATAAATTGCATACCTGCTTATATACTGCGTGATAGAATTTTAGTTTACGAACTGGTATAGCAAAATGTAAAAGCAGGTGAAATATAACATAGGTTGCCTCAGTTGACTTGCTTTGAAAATTTCATGCAATGTTTCTTGCCATTCTTTCTTTTATGAAAATATCATTTTATAAGAATATTGAGGCTGAAATTTACAAAATTTTAAGAATATTTTACGAATAAACCCGGTGCTGAGATTTTTTAAAAAAAAACAATATTTTGTCTGTTGAAAATTTGCAAATGCAATGCAATTATGTTTTTAACTAAACCGTATAAAATTGTTCCATTCTCTAAACAGCAAAACTAGCCAAAAAGCAGCAAAAACAGCACTTGCTGTATGTTTGATGCCAAAACATTTCTGCAAGAAGTAATGTGTGATATCAGGCTTTAGTGCCTGCAGGCTGGCTCCAAAATTATTTTTACACCATCCAGACACCAAATACATTCGAAAACTGAAATTTCATACCCTAAAATCTAAGAATATATTCAGAAAAATATTCCAGCCTAAAATCGGCAGAAAAATAAGAATATTCAACCTCAGCCAGAGAAAAAACAATATTATTATAAAAAAAGAGTGTATGTTAAATACCGATTCACACAGTTTTGCATGTAAATATACATGCATGGCTAGATTTGTATGCAGCTTTGGCCATTTGGATCAACCTGCTGAATTTAATTTTTGTCTGCCATCATAGAGTTTTTGTTAAACAACCTGGGGAACAACCAAGTCTCACCGGAACTGTCACAGAGGGGAATTTCTAGCGGTTACTGCTGCAGGGTTGAATCAAAAGACACACGGAGCACAGATTGGAACTTGGCAGTTGTTTTTCTTCTTCAAATTCGGATGTCAGCACTGTTAAAAAGCCGCCGCCGAAAATGTGCAAGGAAAGTATCAGTTTTCAAGATACACGATATTACAAACCGAAACAGATAAACAGCTTAATGCATTATTTACACCCAGCCATGGTAATTATGTCAGGATTCATTTTCGCTCATGCTAGCATGATTGCTCCAACGTGTGCTCCAACGTGAGCCTGCTCGCAGACTAAGAAAGTGAAAAATTATTTTCGCTAACAGTTTGCGAAAGCGAAACGGATCCCCGGACTGAGTCGTGACGACTAAGGTGGTGGAAGAACCGACTCGCCGGAAGTCATTTCGTAAGAACTTTATAGAAGAGGCAAAAACGAGTAGAAAGGTTTTGTAGATGAATAAATATAAGCTTAACAATCCGGTCGATTTTAATTACTAGAAAGAACTTGGATCATCTACAGAAGTTTATATTTTCAAGACGTTGCATTGTGCCAACCTGTATAGTTTTGCTACTCGAGGGAAAAAGTGGAAACCTGGAGAAGAAACGCTATCGGCAAAATCCTCGATTGGTGATCACGAATCATTGGCAAGTTTAAGCTCAAATTTAGCAATCTTGTTTCCCGATGAAAGAAAGAGGGGAGACGAACTGTGGAATGAACTCCACGATGCTTCTTTAGAGCAACACCAGCATGCGTTGGGTGCCGTTGTGCAGTCAATCGCTCTCCATCAAAGCGTCCAGGATCTCGCAGGTAGTCGTTAATGATGAAACTAAAGGAATATTCCTACCGTCAAAGATTCCTAAAGTGTGTTCAAGAGGAGGCTGCAAACGAGCTCTGGGTACTTCCTTAGGACCAGTACTAAGAAGCACCAGACAAAAGGCGTGGAGAAACAGCGTCGGGGCACAGTAGATGAAATGGGACCGCTACCTTGCTCCGACGGTTTTGCCCTGGAACCAAATCTTTCATAGAACTTAAAGATCACTTGCAAAGAAAATCATCCGAGAGAATTGAAACTATAAGTTGGTCTATCGCATTGTGGTTACGAGGAATGAGCTTTTCCGTGGAATTTGTCACAGATCAGAACGCGATCATGCATACTTTCTTCGAGAATTGAACAGTACTAAATATGCTCCTAAACACTTGCCCAGATACAATGGGGTATAATTTACTCCGGCCTTTGTGCCGAGTCAGCAAGAACATTTTCAAATGTCAATGTCGCACATCTGTTAAGAATTCTTAACCGTTACACGGTTACATTGACTACTGAGAAATTAGTCTTTATATCATATCTGCCGGTTATGTTACTAGTTATAGTTTTATAATTCTCATCACGCAACTGTTATTTACATTCACAAAGTTAAGTTACTGATGAGCGACTTCTCTTCTTTATTGTAGAATTCAACCCCTACTGGTCAGTTCCTCTTCGTCGAAGATATTTGAACCAAAGTATATATTGCATACGGGCGGTAGTCAACTGGGCTACGCCTCGAAATAAATCACTGACATGACGCAGTCTCGTAATCTCTCGTGCAGTGCTTCTCATGGCATTGCACAGGCACTTGTTGTGTCCGGAAAGGTACCAAGACAACAGACATTAACGCAACATGCTTTAATACGGTCGATTCCTACAGCTAGCACAATTCTCTCCCGCTACCGCCGGTCAGCGGTCAGTTAGGACGTCATGTTACTACAGCACTGGCGACTTTGCTAGCGCCCTCGAGCTCTAAATTTAAATTTAAAAGGGTCACGACCAAACACTGCCTCAACGGACACAGTTAAGAAAACATTAACCAACAAACAAATACTAAATTTCAATTGATTTTATATCGATCAAAAAATTCGATGAAATCGTCAAAATCGATAACATTTAGACTTCGTCAGCGTGCGAGTATCGATTTTTATCTATTTCCTCGTCAATATGGTTGATATCCATTGTACTTAAGGCGTTAGTGCATTGATAGGACTCTATCCCCGCGTTGACATAGGTCACATAATTACAATACTGAGATAGGATGAGAAGCAAATGGAAGTGAGATATTACATATGTGGATAAAGCCATTTGTTCGAGGGCAAGCTGAGCTTCAGCGGACTCCACTTGCTGTCCCTCCAAACCCTCGAAGCCTTGCTCTAGACCTTTTGCCGCTTGCATTGATGTGTATGCCCGGACCGTTGCCATCAAACTGTCCATCAATTCAAATTGGTAATCAAACCGATTGCTAAGGGTTTGCGCAAGTTGAGGTACAGCGATTTTGAGTTTAAAAAGGTGATTTCCTACGAAGATGTACGTTGCACCAGCAATGGCCTCTTTTGTCTCCACGGAATCTATTAAGGTTTCCAAATTATCGACTACTGCGTTCCAGGCAGCGTCTAGCTCAGCTATTTGAGCTTCTGAGACCTGCGGTGTGTAGTCGTTATAGCTCGTCAGAAATTCTTTTTGTATTTTCTTAAATTCATCACTACTAGTTTCTTCCGCCTCGAGCTTAGCAATGATTTTCTTGGTATTTTCTAAGTGAACTCTATTTTTCTGAAATCCTTCTCCAATTATCCTGAACTTGTCTGTGGCTATTGTTATTTGCTCACGAATTGCACCGCCCTTGACTGCCTCGAGCGTTGCCCTGGCGGCGGCATCGATACGATCAGCCGTGTCCGCGAAGCCGCCAAAGTCTCCCCCCATGACCCCCATTATTGCCGAAATACCCGAACCAATGACTTTTAACCACATAAAAGTAGCATCAATAGATTCGATTATAGTACCCTCCATTTGCAGCTTAGAAGTATCATATTCTAGTTTTTTCTGAAGTTCTGCTGCCGTCTTTTTGAATTCGTCCAATTTGCCGGTTATGAAAATTGTATCTGCCCGGGCAATTGCTTTGTCAAACTTGGCAACCTTTGTGAAATAATCACGCAAATGTGCGAAACGACTGCCTATTGACGCCTTGAAATATTTCTTTATCTCTCCAGTGAACTTTTCCAGCGAGCTTTGCAGCTCTAGCTTGGTATTTTCAACTGCACCTTTGATGCTAGAAATTTGAAACTGGGTTAACCGGGTTTTATGATCGACGCTCAGATCCAGACTTTTTGTTCTACGATCCCTGCTGCTGTACTGGTCAAGAAAAACTGCAACGTTCTCCTTGGGGATCTTAAAACCGCATTCCATGCTCCTACTAATTTTTTCAAAACTGGGGGCACATTCATCACTACTGGTCAGTCCCATTTGATTCTCGTTGGGGACTAAATCGGCAATATCTTGAAGGCCGGTGAGGTCATTTTCTCGGATTTTGTTATACATGATTTTCAGCAACTCTTTCGCAGTCTGAGCTGTCTTAAGTGCATCGGCTTTGACATAGAAATTGCCTTTAGGTGCCAATAAAAGCCAAACTAGAACAACAGCTCGCATGCTTTGCGATTCACTCGACTGCCAGTTGTCATAATTTGGCCCTAAGACACTCCTTAGTTTTTCCATACGTACAAACGTCTCAGCCAAGTAGCACGTGAGTTGCTCAAAATCATTTTTGTAGGTGTCTGTACATTCGAGTTTCATACTTGCAGAAATGGAGCCGAATTCACCGAAATGGTCCTTAATTTTGTTGCCATCCTGATTTAGGGCATTATCATAGACACTTTGGAACATTGTCATTAACCGGTGACAGAGGGTCTTATTTCTGGCGTTGGACGCAATGTTTAGGATTTCATAGACTTTAGGCTGGAGAAGATACAACATAGATAGTTCCTCCCTGACTCTAGGGGGCCCCTCTTCCCCGTCAGGGCTGGGATCCCATGGTATATTTTCATGATCTATCATCAACTCTGCTAACCTATCAAAGACTACTGCTAACTTACATTGCATTTTGGTATCGTCCCTGTCCATGCTTTCGCACTGTTCTTTCATAAGATCCATCGTGCCGCTGGAGTTATAGTGTTTAAAAACCAGTTCTAAACTATTGATATTGTTCTTTTCAACGTAGTAGAAGACTCGATCGAGCATTTCTTTGCCAAGTTGTTCAAGATCAGTTTTGGCCCAGTAGAGAAGTCGGGGGTGATTCCAGCGCATTTTCGTAACCCAGTTAATCTCCTGTTCTAAAACATCGGGCTGTTTGCCCCATGGTGCTTCAAACCAGCTGTACCAATTGCGTTGAAGATTGCCTTCCTTCATGATATAACTGTCAACGGTTTTCCTGACGACTTCTTTCGCAGCACACAGGAACTCTTTGGACCAACATCTATAATAGCTAGATTTCTTGTTCGCTTCGTAATCATCACAGCCTTTCTTTAAAACGCCTTCAATCATCGATTTATACAGAACTCGGACTTTGGAAGGACTGCAATAAAAGAGAACATTATTCAGAATCAATAGAAAAGCTATATACTGAGTTATCAGGTGAGGCAATCTAATCAGGGTACACTGTAGCACCTAATGGAAGGTATTCACGTGCCTTTTAAAAGAAAGACAGACAGGTCAATACAGAATTCTTCTCGTAAGGGATACCATCATCATCATCATCATCGTTAATTAGCCATGATATTAAAAGAATTTTACAGAGTACAGCACATTGTTAGGCAAGGAGACCTCAAGACATTACTAGGCTTATAGGAAAGACCACGTCGACGTCACACTACGATAAGAACTAAGGACTGCGAAGGTGTGCGACTAGGATAATTCAGTAACTATTTTAATAAAAACTTTACCACTTTGTTCTTAAAGATAGGAAAGCTTGACAAACTTGTAATAGATACAGGAAGACAATTCCAGATTTTTGGTCCTTGGTAAAGAGTTCTGAATTTCTTGATGTTAGGACGACAGGACCGTACTCGATAATTACTGGCTGTTCTTGTGTCATATCTATGAATTTGAATGTTTGTAATAAACAGATTGAGAAAGAGTGGATTATATTTGAGTGAATTATTCGACAACATATACGTAAAGGATACCTGAATCTTTAATGGCATACTGGAAAATGCATTGATGTAGACATAGTAAGAACTGGTTATGAAAGCCGGTAAACTTCAAAGGAACAAACAAAGAACACAAGATTTATGTTGGAAGGTCCACGAGACTGCAAGGTCTTTTGTTTTGTGCTCACATTCCAGTTTAGCCGAATAACGTCACCGTCACGTTTCTATTGGTCAGTTCCTTGAACAATAATCATGACCTATTGTGCTCTGTGCAGGGTCAGGCCTTAAAAGCGGCCAAAAGCATAGAAAAAAACCCTTTGTCAAGTTTCATAACCATTTCCCTCTATTAAATATGATGTAAGTCCGTCGAGTCGACGAAACCTGCATATTTAGCAACATTGGGAGTATTAAGGATACGATTGTCTCTACTTCCTTTTAGCTTCTGCAGCAGATGTATTCACGTCGAATGTGGTAGTATCCTCTCGAATGATCGGAGTGCTTACTCATGGACACCAGCCAAGAAAAGTGCCAAGCTACGTTTTAGTCAAAGTGAGGTATTATTATCTGGAATAACGAAACTCGGTGCTGTTTGGTTTGCTCATCATGCGTTGGCAAAAATCTGTTTACCAGCATAGCATTAACGATATTTTGCTATAGTTCTTAGAGGTTTTACCTTCTACTGCCATATCGGTCTATCCAACTGTAGGCTTGTCCCAGATAATAATCATTCCAAGCTTGTTTGACCTCTTGTCTTCGCTCTTCGCATCTTGGATCAGTTGGATCCCAAACTTTCTCTGAGAAACATGAACCCAGGAAAAGCTGCAAAAGAAATGCCAGGAACAGCATCCTATCCTGTTAGGAAAACAAAATAAGTTTTTTTTTTATAATTAATAGTCTTCCTTAACCACACTTAATGGTAAGTACATTCACTCTTCCTTAAATGGTCGCATGATTGTGACGTTGATTGAACGACCTTGACGTGGCGGCAGTCGCAATCATATTGGCGATCAATTTGGTTAATGGAACCAGCACCATCTCAGTGTAGCCAGGACGATCAGGTGCCGCTCTTGTTTTCCTAATTTTTTTTTCCAACAAAAAGGGAGGGAGTGTGGCCAAGTGGTTAGAGCGCCGGATTTGAAATCCGTATACGTAGGTCCCGGGTTCAAATCCCGTTCTGACCGCTAGCTGATGCTGTTCTCGGTAGCCCNGCATCGATACGATCAGCCGTGTCCGCGAAGCCGCCAAAGTCTCCCCCCATGACCCCCATTATTGCCGAAATACCCGAACCAATGACTTTTAACCACATAAAAGTAGCATCAATAGATTCGATTATAGTACCCTCCATTTGCAGCTTAGAAGTATCATATTCTAGTTTTTTCTGAAGTTCTGCTGCCGTCTTTTTGAATTCGTCCAATTTGCCGGTTATGAAAATTGTATCTGCCCGGGCAATTGCTTTGTCAAACTTGGCAACCTTTGTGAAATAATCACGCAAATGTGCGAAACGACTGCCTATTGACGCCTTGAAATATTTCTTTATCTCTCCAGTGAACTTTTCCAGCGAGCTTTGCAGCTCTAGCTTGGTATTTTCAACTGCACCTTTGATGCTAGAAATTTGAAACTGGGTTAACCGGGTTTTATGATCGACGCTCAGATCCAGACTTTTTGTTCTACGATCCCTGCTGCTGTACTGGTCAAGAAAAACTGCAACGTTCTCCTTGGGGATCTTAAAACCGCATTCCATGCTCCTACTAATTTTTTCAAAACTGGGGGCACATTCATCACTACTGGTCAGTCCCATTTGATTCTCGTTGGGGACTAAATCGGCAATATCTTGAAGGCCGGTGAGGTCATTTTCTCGGATTTTGTTATACATGATTTTCAGCAACTCTTTCGCAGTCTGAGCTGTCTTAAGTGCATCGGCTTTGACATAGAAATTGCCTTTAGGTGCCAATAAAAGCCAAACTAGAACAACAGCTCGCATGCTTTGCGATTCACTCGACTGCCAGTTGTCATAATTTGGCCCTAAGACACTCCTTAGTTTTTCCATACGTACAAACGTCTCAGCCAAGTAGCACGTGAGTTGCTCAAAATCATTTTTGTAGGTGTCTGTACATTCGAGTTTCATACTTGCAGAAATGGAGCCGAATTCACCGAAATGGTCCTTAATTTTGTTGCCATCCTGATTTAGGGCATTATCATAGACACTTTGGAACATTGTCATTAACCGGTGACAGAGGGTCTTATTTCTGGCGTTGGACGCAATGTTTAGGATTTCATAGACTTTAGGCTGGAGAAGATACAACATAGATAGTTCCTCCCTGACTCTAGGGGGCCCCTCTTCCCCGTCAGGGCTGGGATCCCATGGTATATTTTCATGATCTATCATCAACTCTGCTAACCTATCAAAGACTACTGCTAACTTACATTGCATTTTGGTATCGTCCCTGTCCATGCTTTCGCACTGTTCTTTCATAAGATCCATCGTGCCGCTGGAGTTATAGTGTTTAAAAACCAGTTCTAAACTATTGATATTGTTCTTTTCAACGTAGTAGAAGACTCGATCGAGCATTTCTTTGCCAAGTTGTTCAAGATCAGTTTTGGCCCAGTAGAGAAGTCGGGGGTGATTCCAGCGCATTTTCGTAACCCAGTTAATCTCCTGTTCTAAAACATCGGGCTGTTTGCCCCATGGTGCTTCAAACCAGCTGTACCAATTGCGTTGAAGATTGCCTTCCTTCATGATATAACTGTCAACGGTTTTCCTGACGACTTCTTTCGCAGCACACAGGAACTCTTTGGACCAACATCTATAATAGCTAGATTTCTTGTTCGCTTCGTAATCATCACAGCCTTTCTTTAAAACGCCTTCAATCATCGATTTATACAGAACTCGGACTTTGGAAGGACTGCAATAAAAGAGAACATTATTCAGAATCAATAGAAAAGCTATATACTGAGTTATCAGGTGAGGCAATCTAATCAGGGTACACTGTAGCACCTAATGGAAGGTATTCACGTGCCTTTTAAAAGAAAGACAGACAGGTCAATACAGAATTCTTCTCGTAAGGGATACCATCATCATCATCATCATCGTTAATTAGCCATGATATTAAAAGAATTTTACAGAGTACAGCACATTGTTAGGCAAGGAGACCTCAAGACATTACTAGGCTTATAGGAAAGACCACGTCGACGTCACACTACGATAAGAACTAAGGACTGCGAAGGTGTGCGACTAGGATAATTCAGTAACTATTTTAATAAAAACTTTACCACTTTGTTCTTAAAGATAGGAAAGCTTGACAAACTTGTAATAGATACAGGAAGACAATTCCAGATTTTTGGTCCTTGGTAAAGAGTTCTGAATTTCTTGATGTTAGGACGACAGGACCGTACTCGATAATTACTGGCTGTTCTTGTGTCATATCTATGAATTTGAATGTTTGTAATAAACAGATTGAGAAAGAGTGGATTATATTTGAGTGAATTATTCGACAACATATACGTAAAGGATACCTGAATCTTTAATGGCATACTGGAAAATGCATTGATGTAGACATAGTAAGAACTGGTTATGAAAGCCGGTAAACTTCAAAGGAACAAACAAAGAACACAAGATTTATGTTGGAAGGTCCACGAGACTGCAAGGTCTTTTGTTTTGTGCTCACATTCCAGTTTAGCCGAATAACGTCACCGTCACGTTTCTATTGGTCAGTTCCTTGAACAATAATCATGACCTATTGTGCTCTGTGCAGGGTCAGGCCTTAAAAGCGGCCAAAAGCATAGAAAAAAACCCTTTGTCAAGTTTCATAACCATTTCCCTCTATTAAATATGATGTAAGTCCGTCGAGTCGACGAAACCTGCATATTTAGCAACATTGGGAGTATTAAGGATACGATTGTCTCTACTTCCTTTTAGCTTCTGCAGCAGATGTATTCACGTCGAATGTGGTAGTATCCTCTCGAATGATCGGAGTGCTTACTCATGGACACCAGCCAAGAAAAGTGCCAAGCTACGTTTTAGTCAAAGTGAGGTATTATTATCTGGAATAACGAAACTCGGTGCTGTTTGGTTTGCTCATCATGCGTTGGCAAAAATCTGTTTACCAGCATAGCATTAACGATATTTTGCTATAGTTCTTAGAGGTTTTACCTTCTACTGCCATATCGGTCTATCCAACTGTAGGCTTGTCCCAGATAATAATCATTCCAAGCTTGTTTGACCTCTTGTCTTCGCTCTTCGCATCTTGGATCAGTTGGATCCCAAACTTTCTCTGAGAAACATGAACCCAGGAAAAGCTGCAAAAGAAATGCCAGGAACAGCATCCTATCCTGTTAGGAAAACAAAATAAGTTTTTTTTTTATAATTAATAGTCTTCCTTAACCACACTTAATGGTAAGTACATTCACTCTTCCTTAAATGGTCGCATGATTGTGACGTTGATTGAACGACCTTGACGTGGCGGCAGTCGCAATCATATTGGCGATCAATTTGGTTAATGGAACCAGCACCATCTCAGTGTAGCCAGGACGATCAGGTGCCGCTCTTGTTTTCCTAATTTTTTTTTCCAACAAAAAGGGAGGGAGTGTGGCCAAGTGGTTAGAGCGCCGGATTTGAAATCCGTATACGTAGGTCCCGGGTTCAAATCCCGTTCTGACCGCTAGCTGATGCTGTTCTCGGTAGCCCCGAGTTTAACTTCTCGGCTACGCTTGTAAATAGCCAACTGGTCTGCCATTTGGGATTCTTAACCTAGTTATGTTTATTTGAACATTTATTTATCATTGATTGTTTACATTGGTCCTGAAAAGCCCAAATGTGAAGTGGCCAATAATGTATACATACATGTACAAAAGTTGGTAACAAGGTAAATTTTTGTTTACTGTGAAAATTGTGTAAAGTTAAGCCAAATATCCTAATTTCTTCCAATGCTAAAAAATCATATGACTTCTCGTACGAATAAATCACCGAGTTTTGTGTCTAAAATAAATGAATGGTCATTTTTAGGTGCTAGTGTTAAACAAACAAAAAGGTAGAGATATCAAACATTACCTTGGTATTTAGGGCTATGGAATTGCTCCATCATTTTGAACCGTTGGAAAACTCATCATATCTCCATGCTCTGGAATTCGAACCTCTGACCTTACCACAGAAGCCGATACGACATTCGAACACCTTGAGCTAGTGAGCCACCATAACGTCAAGAGAAAGTCAATGTTTATTTCGTTATTGTGGGATTAAACAGATGTATTATCCCTTTGGAAATAAAATGTNCGCTTGTAAATAGCCAACTGGTCTGCCAGTTGGGATTCTTAACCTAGTTATGTTTATTTGAACATTTATTCATCATTGATTGTTTACATTGGTCCTGAAAAGTCCCAACGCGAAGTGGCCAATAATGTATACATACATGTACAAAAGTTAGTAACAAGGTAAATTTTTGTTTACTGTGAAAATTGTGTAAAGTTAAGTCAAATATCCTAATTTCTTCCAATGCTAAAAGATCATTTGACTTCTCGTACGAATAAATCACCGAGTTTTGTGTCTAAAATAAATGAATGGTCATTTTTAGGTGCTAGTGTTAAACAAACAAAAAGGTAGAGATATCAAACATTACCTTGGTATTTAGGGCTATGGAATTGCTCCATCATTTTGAACCGTTGGAAAACTCATCATATCTCCATGCTCTGGAATTCGAACCTCTGACCTTACCACAGAAGCCGATACGACATTCGAACACCTTGAGCTAGTGAGCCACCATAACGTCAAGAGAAAGTCAATGTTTATTAGTATGTATGTATGTATGTATGTATGTATGTATGTATGTATGTATGTATGTATGTATGTATGTATGGACCAGGGACCATTTTCTACATTGATATCACTCTGATTATTACGGTGATACAAAATATCTACCTTGATATCGCATTATTAACATGATCAACGAGTTTCTACCTTGGTATCCGCGACTACTATCGGGACAAATTATTTCATTCATTGATATCGCATTTTAAAATACCGGGCGAGATAGACCATTTCAGTTAAAAGAAAAACACTTACTTAACTGTCCTGATCGAGTTAAACTCATCGACTGATCAAAAGAACGCGCTTTTTCGAAATATCCACGACGCACAAGTATATAAATATTAACCGAAGAAGCCAGTGGCATTACCTCATTTATACACAAAGCTAAGATTCCCTGGACGAAAATAATGAAAAAACTCCAGTTAAGGACAAAAAGACTCAAACTACCTGCACAATAAAATGACTCTCAACAAGCTTCCTTTATGTTCTGTTTTCTACCTTGAGAACCACGTTCTAAAACGTACCTGTTTGCAGGCTGGCCTTTGAACCACGAACAGGGCAAAGAGAATTTAAACCTAGGTAGGAAAACAGGATAATGTTTACGAAACGAAACTTGAGAGAATCTAAGCTCAGTTAATAAAAGTGTAATTTGCGACCTACTTACAAAATGCAATCCCTTTTGGTTCAGATCATATGACTTTAAACGAGTGATGGAGTAGAATTAGATTGTCTCAACTAATTGCGCTTTCTTAAGTGATCAAAAAATGGTGTCATCATTTTGAACCGATGAACCCAAGAAAATTGGGATATTGCATTACCGCCATATTACACGGTTGTCCGCTTTGATACCACGGCACCAGTAGCGCCTCAGAACCCTCAATAAGTGCTACCATAATAACTTTTACTGCGATGAAGCGTCAGAAGGAAATCTGATTCGATCAGATTGCATTCTTAACTTGTGGGCCCAAAGGATGTTAAACTGAGATTTATAAACCTCGTTTTCAAAAAGTGCGTCTTTTTGTCCAGGTTTAAATTCTCTTAGCTCGTTGTGACTCTATCAGCCAGCCACATACTTATTTTTCATTTAACAGATATGACTTTTACTCCTAATCTTAAAAAAAAAAACGCTTGTGCAACGTTAAACATTTCTAATTAATCAAATCATTTCAATTTCTAACTGGGTCTTGACTTCGTTTCTTAAATGAAAATAAAACTATAAAAAGATTTTAAAGCATCGCGCAATACCGTTAAGAGGACCATTATATTGCTCGCAGTTCCTCTAAAGGTTCAACTGAGTCTGTATCTATGAAAACATTTACTTGTACGTGTGGT